GGCTATGTCTTGGGCTACTCAAATATTTTACGTTTTTGATACTAAATTAACTTCTGAAGTATAATTTTTTATTGTTTTTATATTTTTCAATATATTTATTTTGTTTGTACAAAATAAAAAATAATTTTTAACGATACAATAGTCTTCGTTAGGCTTAACATTGACGAAAATTCAACACAAAGTGACACGCAACGGAGAAAAATGTCAAGATGGGATAAATTAATATATTTTTTCGTACATAATCGATTATCCGAAACATCAATCTTCCAAACAACCCCAGTCCCCAATTGATTCAGATAATCGACGCTCTACTGTAATTTTATAACATCATTCTAAATTACTTAAATTTTATTTTCTCAGTTACCTGATGGTAAACATGTTGAAACATCAGCTGAGTTGGCTCGTGGTTATGAAGTCAGTAATCGCAAACGCTGTAGAAATATTCAAGAGAAACAAAAGCCAGAATTTACTAAAGATACTCAGACTCATTGTTCAAGCTCATTCCCACATTTATCAACAGCTTGTGCAGCATATTTAGGTATTGAGGAAGATTTATTTTTAGAAGCATGTCGATGGGATGTTTCTCAAGGAAAGGATGTATGCATTAGTTCTGATGCATTTGCTGGTTATTGCACTGTTCGAGGAATGAAATCCGCGCCATGCTGTGAGTTTGGCTCTAACTTATATTAATTTTCAAAAGTAATTCTTCCTAAAATTTAATTTCTCTTTCTAGCATCTAAACCTAGTTGGTATCTGAAAACTGTTAATTCTGCTAAAAAACTGGAAGTGATATTAGTAATTGAAGAATATCACAAGATGTTTGCTTCAGGATTAAAAGGTTTAGATAGCTTATTTTCAGCTATACATGATGAATTTAAAAAGAATGGATATGAAAGTATTGTATTCAGTGTAATTGGATATGGTGGCAAAGGCAATCATTGGGATCCTCACATTTATACACCAGACAGGTAAGATATTTAATAAGGAGACAAATTTGATAATTACACAAAAAAATCACTATTTTTATAAACTTTTTCAGTAACATTTGGCATTCAAAAGCAGAATTAGTTTCTCATTTGGAAAACTTACTTAAATTTGAAGGAGAGCACAAAGGAAACACTCTTGAAGCAATTAAATATGCAACAACAATCTTACCATTTGATATGCAAGCTTCCAGGGTCATGCTTCTCTTTACTGATCATGATACTAATGTATGTCATATTTTATTATTATTCATTTAATAGTTTATAATATAGATAAGTAAATTATATTCTGGAAGAAAATTTATCATTTAATTTAATTATAATTATTAAATTTAATACAAGATGGTGCCTAATGCCTTTCTCTAGTGACAAATTATTTAGTAATTAATTAAATATAATTGTGAAAAATAGCCAGATGTAATCTGTTGGTCATTTGGCTCTACAAATTTATTGGGATTTGTGATGTTTGTTTATATATATGTTACTGTGAAAGACTGAAATTAGAGAATGTCGATATTCTCTGGTGAATGTTGACACATACAAAATACGTCAGTGAAAGATTGAATATTTGGTTATTTTATTATACATTCAAATAGCTGCCGGTGTATGTTGACAAGGACAGATAAGGTTTGGTGGAGGTTGAAATGACACTCGAGAAACCGATGTTGGCAGAACAAAGGATTTGGCGACAGTTTGTTGCCAAATCCTTTGTTCTGCCGTGATTGAAATCACATGTTATCTATTTGTTATACTCTGGAACACTGCTGTTTGTCAGTCTTATGCAAAGTTTGCTGGTATGTGCAACACTTTCTTAATTTAAATTTTATTTTTTTTCCGATACCTAGTGTTACCACCCATCTGGTCTGGGAATTGACTCACTGTCCGGGTGAACTATTAATTTTGTCCAGGAATTTCATAGAAATTGTGAAATTACAATGAAACAAACTTCTTGCAAATATTTTTACAAATTTACACTATTTTAGCAGTGAAAGAACTCACACACACTGAATCTCTGCAATTCTGCCATGTTCTCTGTTTATACTAACGTGTGGTGCGCAACCTGTCAATCTTTTTTTTTTTTTTCTTTTTTACAAGTAGTACCATCGTACACGTCTATGGGCTAAGTTTTCTAGCACATTATTCTTCCCATTGTAAAATGACATTGCGCATGCGTCAGGAACTTCTGTTCGGACAAACATGACCTGCCGTCCGGGTCAGCAATTTTGAAAAGGTGGCAATACTACCGATACCCTAATTTATATTGAATGGATACTGCAGTGAACCAAGAACCAAGAGTGTTATGGCTTTTCTTAATCATCACAATGCATAGTGGTCAAATATCATGAAAGCCATGACACAAATTTTGCTTTGTGGTCATTTTTAGTTAGCCACAACATGTTGTGGTCGTGTTTTTCACTCAATGAGCATTTTTGGTCTTTGAGCCTAACATATATAAAAGAACAAATTATCTGAGAACAATAATTGTAAGAAAAAAAGAAAATATGTTGCAGAATTTTAAAAATATGGATTTCCACATAAGGAAGTTAATGGTGAGCACCTACCATTTTGCATAACTTTTACATGTTTCAGACTCTTAGAGCATGTTTGATGGAATAAGGCAACACAACAGATAGACAATCTGCCAAGTGAAAGATGCCTCTTAGTAGGACTTTCTATGGAAAAATGGTTTTTATTGTGGTTTCAGATGTTCAGATTGAAGTTTCTAGCACAGGTACAAATTCACAACCAATTACTAATGTTTTATCCATTTGGCCACTGATGAGCATCAAGTTTACCTGTGGTCAAGTGAATATTTTAAAGATATTTGAAACAAATCATCCAATGTACAGCACATCAAAAAAGCCATTGTATTTTTTAAAAACTGTCCAACTCCCTTAAAAAATCTTTATTATTAAAACAAAGTATAAATTGAAACAATGCTTTTACAGATTAATAATTGGAAGCAACAGTGAAAAAGTGGACAAATGCCAAAGCCAACAGATAGGAAAACAGCACTCTTGAAAAGTTAATAGTTTGTGCAAAAAACAGGTGGTTGAGAGCTCTGATATTTTAAATATAAATTTTTAAACAGTGAAATATTGAGAATGATCTTTCATTGATGTATGTGATTAGTGAAAGACTAATATTTTCAATAATTTAAAAAATATATAAATATAACAAACATTACAAAGCTGATATTCATTATGATGCAGTTTTAATAAAACTGTTTTTACTTTTACATTTCAAGACATAATGAGGATAAGCTTATTAAAATATAACAAACATCACAAAGCCCCTATATCTGGCTTTGCAATGTTTGTTATATACATATATACACAGCTCACTGGGTAAAACATTAGCTTGCTGAATGCCATTGTGGTGTTGTACCATGGCAGTAGTTGTTGTCCCCAGCCAGCACTGTGATTAACCACATAAGGTTATACCTAAAGTTTAAATGCATCTGGAAAAAAGGCTTGTTTGGGGTCCAGGTGGTGCAACTGACAAGTGCACTGCGCAGTAAACAGAGGCTGTGGATTCAATGCCCACCCTGGATCAGAACCATCTGGAAGAAAAGAACTAAAGTATTTAATAAATTATTAAAATTATAATTATTAATTTAGTTAAGAGATGGTGCCTAATGTCTACCTCTCTAGTAACAAATTACTTTGTATTAATCTTTAAATTAGTGAAATTATAGCCCGAACATTTAGGTGATCATTTGGTGAAGTTTAAAAAATATATC